AAGGTTTAAATTAGTTTCATAATAGGGGTGTGTACATTGGATATTTTTTCCTCCATTCTTGTGATACTTTGCTCAGAAGAACATTCTCCAGCTCCACACATTATGTTTTATATACTATATGTCTATCATTATCTTCTAGGAGTAAAATTCCTCAAAACTAAAATAAAGTTAAGGCGAATAAAAAACTGGAGAAAATATTCTCTACCAAAGTGATAAAGGGATACCAAGTTTAAAGTATAAACAAATCTTCCACAAAAAATGAAGGATATGTTTAGCATCTCAATAGAAAAATGGATAAAGGCCTTGAATACCCAGTGTACTGAAGCCACCCTCTGATTCCCACACCCACGGATAAAGGGCTCCCAGGCTTCTCTCCTTAGATGTCCAGTGGGCACTACAAAGTTGAGCCTGACCAATGCCCGTGTGTCCGCCCTGCACTGCTGCTCTCCACTCTGAGAAGCTACCATCTGCTCTGGATTCCTCCTGGCACCCTGGAAGTCCTTCCCAGTTTCCTCTCTCTATAGACCCCTGTTTTAATCAGGTGTGGTAAGACACACAGAGGTAGGAATGACCGTCTGGAATGTGGTTTACCATCTCTAGGAACTGGCTAGCAGGGGGCTTCAGGGCCAGCAAGGCCCAAAGAGGTCAAAGTATGAGAAATACAGAAAATAAAAGACCTGGTTGATATGCCCTACAAGTACTTCACTAGGGATCCTCTCAGTCCACGTGGGTCTCCAGCCTGCCTGCATCCCTCTTTCTCTAAAGACGAACCCCTTCTCTACCCTTCTCCTCCTGAATCCTTTCCTCACCCTGCAGCCAGACGGCTCTTTTGTTTAAAATTCCACATGTTGATTGTTGTTATATTGGAAAGCAATCAACTTTTATATTTTAACCATGTATTCGGAAACCTTGCTATAATCACTTAGTTTGATGGGTTTATTTTTTTCTAATTTTTTATTAATAAATAATATTTATATACATACATGGCATACATTATGCATAGATTGTGTAATGATTGGGTCAGGGCATCTAGGGCAGCCATCACCTTCAGTAATTATCATTTCTTTGTGTTGGAAACATTTCAAGTCCTCTCTTCTGGTTATTTTATTTATTTATTTTTGTTTGTTTGTTTTTTTGGCCAGGGCTGGGTTTGAACCCGCCACCTCCAGTATTTGGGGCAGGCACCCTACTCCTTTGAGGCACTGCCCTGGTTATTTTAAATAATAAAATATATTGTTGTTAATTATAGTCACCCTACTCTGCTATTGGATATCAGAAGAACTGGAGGTCAGGAGAAGGCATGGAGAGATAAACAAACAGTGCGATTCCAAGAGGGTGTTTTGGTCAATTTTCTCAGATTTTCTACAGAGACAGTCATGTCATCTGGGAACAAAGACAGTTTCATTTCTTTCTTCTCAATCTGTATACATCATATTGTCGGGTCTTGCTGGACGATGTGGAGAAGGGGTGTGAGAGGAGACATCCCTGCCTTGTTACTGATCTTGTTAGGAAAGCTCCCAGCTTCTGGCGGCGGAGTACGCTGTTAGCTGTAGGTGTTTTGCAGACAGTCTTTATCAAGTTCAGGAAGGTTCTCTCTTTACAGGGAGGTTTTTGTTTTTTTCTAAATCGTGGATGAGTGTTGCATTTTGTCAAATGATTTTTCTGCATCCACTGATAGGCTCGTGTGGTTTTCCTTCTTTAGCTTGTCAATGTGAGAGACTGTATTAATCGACTTTTGAGTGTTGTGATGGGGCTCTTTACAAATTGAAGTCAGATCATGTAGTCCCCGCTCAAGCTCCCCCGCTGACCTCAGTGCCCAGCAGAGTCCTTTCCCCTGAGTGGCCCCGGCTGGGGTCATCCGGCCCCATCAGCTTACGTCACCCCCTGCCCCATCCCGACGGCACTGCAGCCCTTTGCCTCTGCACTTGCTCCTTCTGCCTGCGACACACTCTTTTTAAAAAATTAAATTAAATTTTATTTTTTATTAAATGATAGCTGTGTACATTAATGCAATCATGGGGTACAGTGTGATTTCATATACAATTTGAAATATTTTCATCAAACTGGTTAACATAGCCTTTATGTCATTTTCTTAGTTACTGTGTTAAGACGTTTATATTCTACTTTTAGAAAGATTCACTTGTACCCTTGTAAGATAAACCAAAGAGGTGATCCCTGCAATCACCCTTCCTCCCCCATCCACCCTCCTCTCCTCCCCTCTCCCTCCCTCCTCCCCTACCCTCTCTCTCCCTCCTCCCCATATTTTAGGCTATAATTAGGTTATAGCTTTCATATGAAATCCATAAATTAGTTACATAATAGGGCTGTGTACATTGGATACTTTTTCTTCCATTCTCTTGAACTGTGACACATTCTTCACGTTCTTTCTGATGCTAGGACATTTCAACTTTCAGATTTCTTAACATCTAAACATCCATAACCTTAGCCTCACCTCCTCCCAAAGGCCTGCCATGAGCATCTTTAGCAGACTTCCCCACTCCTTATCTCATGGGACTTATCTCTTACCTCCACCCATAAATATCTCTGTCTCCTCCTTATGCGGAGGTTGGGTACCTTGCACAGGGCATGATGTATGTGTTGAATAAATAAAAAAAAAATTAGCTTTGTACAGTGGCAGTATCATAGCCAGTGAGTTTATCTGAGGGATGATGATTGCTAATTAAAAAAATTAAATGGATAATAAATATATAAAAATCGTTAAGTTTTATTGATAATATAGACAATAAAAACAATTTTATAACTTGGAATGCAAAGTTTTTTTAAATGATCATTTCTATTTGGATGAGGACCAGGTAAGATGTGCTCTCAAGGGTAGCTGGTGGGAGTGTAAATTGGTACTAGTTTAATTTGAAGATAATTTGATGTTGAGTATTAAGAACCTTAAAAACACCAGGAAACTTATTCTTGCAAAAGAGTTCCACTTGTGGTGTTCATTCTTTTTGTTTAAAGTTCATCTAGGTTCCACACTGCAGCTGACCACAAGAAGGTCAACACCCTGGCCTTTTTACAAGAGATACAAGACCTGGCTGAGGAAATTTATAGAACGACGGACAAGGCAAAGAACTTACAAAAACTTTGGGTAGAGCGATCCAAGACTCTAGGCAAGTAACTATGTCATAACTGTGACGCTGCCTACCTGGACGCAGCTTAAGGACTGCTCCTGGGAAGGCTGTGATCGCCCAGAATGTTTCTGAAATCCCAAGTACCGCAGTCTCTTGCTGTAGGAGTTGGGAAAGGGAGCGCCCTCTGGTGGGTGAGGCTGGCATCTGCAGCCGGTGGAGGGTGAGGCTGGATTCTCCCTCCCACTCTCTGGGAAAGTGCTTAGCGCAGGGCATCAGCTTGGCGGCCTTCAGAGGGCAGCTTGGCTTTGTCTCCACAGATTCTCTCTCTCTACTCTTCCTGCTCCTTCACTTTCTTCTATTGCTGTCTTCTTTTTCTCACTTTTTCTTGTTATATATTTAAAAATCTGTTCCACTTTCCCCCAATTCATTCTCTCTCTCTCTCTCTCCTGATTCCTTTCCTCCCCACTGAAGGCTTGGACTGATGTTTTCTATGTTAGTAACACTTTAATTCTGGTTTTGGATGACTAGTTTGCTTTGATTACAAACCTTTTGGATTATTGGGAAAGTTATTCCCTAAAAATAATTTCTGTTTGTTATAAAGAATATCCACCATCATAAAAGACTTCGATGCTTACTTAGAAATGCACAATAGAGATAGAGTTAGAATGGATACAGAGTTAAAAAGTTCAGCTTACAAATGGAAAAGTTTGCATCTCAGAGGGAGTCGGCCATTTGCCTACCTTCACATACCAGAGTCATTGCCTGCTGGAAACTTCCTTAATAAACAGGTAGCTCAGGGGTTTGAGACCAGCCGGAGCAAGAGTGAGACCAAGTCTCTACTAAAAATAGAAAGGACTATCCAGGAATTGTGGCGGGCGACTGTAGTCCCAGCTACTGGGGAGGCTGAGGCAGGAGGATCACTTGAGTCCAAGAGTTGCTGTGAGCTAGGATGTCACAGCACTCTACCCAGGGTGACAGAGTGAGACTCTGTCTAAAACAAAATGAAACAAACAGGTAGCCACAGTGCTTCTGCCCCACTTTTTTTTTTTTTTTGGCAATTTTTTTTTGATTGGGGCCGGGTTTAAACCCACCACCTCTGGTATATAGGCCGGGGCCCTACTCCTTTGAGCCACAGGCGCTGCCCTCTCCACTTTTTTTTTTTTAACCCTGTCTACCACAGCTGTCAGACGAAATAGAGGTCATTCAGTTAAATTTGAATTTTAAATAACATATAAATTCTTAATGTGTGTATGTGCCAAATATTGCATGCTTATAATAAAAAAGCTATTCATTTTTTAATCTGAAATTGAAATTTAACTAAATGTTTTTTGTTTTTAATTTTTTAAATATGGTAGCCCGAAGTATCTAGCTCCAATTTTGTTTTTTTATATAACTTTTTCTTTCTTCATGGAGTATACACAAGAAAATGAAGTAAGAAGTTTGGTAGGAATGTGAAGAATGAGCTCCCCAGAGCGTGTGGTGTTATGTGTTATTTTTAAGAGAGAAAATAGCACTTTTGTCCAGGGCAATGCAGGGCTGCCCACGGCCTCCCGGAAGGCTCATTTCACGATGAACCCAAAATGTTTCAACAAAAGATGAGAGTGGTTCAAAACCCAAATGATAAAGTTCTTCTCTTGAGATTTATCATGGGCTCATTTTACTTTTATCAAATTTGATTTTCAAGTAAAGTTTTTAACATATTATTGAAAGAACTCATTTTTTTTTTTTTTTGGCCAGGGCTAGGTTTGAACCCACCACCTCCTGCATATGGGGCCGGCGCCCTTCTCCTTTGAGCCACAGGCACCACCCAGAACTCATTTTTTTTTTTTTTTGAGATGACATTTCTATTATCTATTTGCTATTATTTAAGTCATTTCTTGTGGGATATGTAATTCAAAAATAATCAGAAAATATATAGTTCTATTTTTTCCCCCTCTTCAACTTTTTCTTTTCTTTTAAATTTTTTTTTTTTTTTTTACTTCTCATTCCCGTCTCTAGCCTGTCCTGAGTGTTCACAATATCTGGCAAAATTAGAGTCTAATGAAATAATAAATATCCTTCAACAAAATATTGAAATTTGATTTACTAGTTAGATTTTTTCCAGGGATTTTCTTAATGTCAATATGATTTGGAAATTGTAAACAGTGATTTTCTTTAGATTTATTCTTCATTTGGGTGTTTTTGCCTTTTGGGGCAAGACTCTGTGACAACATCCCATTTTACTTTAGAACTAAAGCAGGGACTCAGCAGATGCTTCTTCACTGATGATTGGGTTAATGTCTCTTAAATCTTTATTGCAGATTCTTCTCATGGATCCAGTCTCTTAACTGTAAGTATCTTAACAAAGGTTTGAAAATTAGTCTTCAAAGACAGGATGGCTAAGTTACAACAGTGTTTTCTTGTTTTTTAAAGTTCTATTTATATATTTACTTTTTCTGTTTTTTCCAATTTATATTTTCAAATGCTTCTTTCTCATTATTTGATATGTAGTAGCAATTGTGTAGAAGCTGGATGTGGGAGAGTCAAATCCGCTCAGAGGAGGGACTGATCCGGTGGAGACCGAGGATCATCCGTTCTTTGAGTGAATCTGACTCCCTCACCTCTAGCTTCTGCACCAGTGGTTTTCAACCGCTGTGCCACGGCACACTGGTCTGCCATGAGAGGATCTTAGGTATGCTGTGAAAATTTGTAATGCTCATTAATTAAATGATTTTTGAAAGAATTTTGAAGTGCAATAAGTATATTCATTTTTTGGTCTTGTTGTTGATCAACATAATTTAAGTGTGCTACAAAAGTTGAACTATAGGTTCAAATGTGCTGTGAAATAAAAAAAAGGTTGAAAAACATTGTTGGGCACAATTCTCTCTACATATCAAATCATTAGAAACAAAGATGACTTTGAATTCTCTGAAGGACGGCCTGGGGCTTCGAGAAGGGGAGGCGAAGGCTGAGGTTGGCGGGTGAGGGGCACAGAGCTGCTTTGTAAGATGTTTCTGAGCCTGTCTGATCTCAGTTAGATCTAAGGTCTGGGTTTGGTACACACCCTGTGACTCTTGATGCCCAAAGCCTTAGTTAAGGTGCCAGGTATCAACAGGGTGAGGTTTTGTTCCTCAGGGGATATTTGTCAATATCTGGACCCATTTTGGGTCTTCAGAACTGGAGGCAGATTGGGAGGTTACTACTGCCCTCCAGAGCAGCAGTCTCCAATCTCTTTGGCACAAGGGACCAGTCTCCCAGAAGACAGTTTCACCACAGATGGGGTGGGGTGGGGATGGTTTCAGGATGATTCAGGTGCATTACATGTACCTCAGGTCGTCAGGCATCAGATTCTCATCAGGAACGCCACCTAGGTCCGTCAAATGCGTTCTGCTGTGAAAATCTGACCCCGCTGCTGAGGGGGCAGGAAGGGGCGCCCAGGTGGTGGCAGGAGGGATGGGGCACAGCTGTAAATACAAAGCTTCACTTGCTCTCCTGCCGCTCACCTGCTGCTGTGAGGCTGGTTTCCTGACAGGTCTGGAGCCCAGGTCTGGAGGATTGGAGCCAGAGGTGTCACTAAACTTATCCCAGAAACACAGGACAGCCCCCAAACACTCACAATTGACCCAGAACGTTAAGAGGGCCAAGGTGGAGAAACCCCGACGTAAAGTGTGAATCCTGACAATATTAAAAATTCTGTCCTGCTCATGTGCAGCCCAAGTAACATGGTGTTAACAGTGGCACATGTCCCTTATCTGCCTAATTCTAAAAAGGATTTAGACAATTCAAAAAAATATACAGTAAAACTATTAAGAGAAAGTAAAAGAATGTGGGACAACTAATGAGTTGGAATGGGGAGAGGAATGTCATTGTAAACATTACATAACCATTCTGGCCAAGTTTGTGGGGCACCCATCTTAACCCTGCACTTTCTGAAATACCAGGTCAAAAGGAAAATATTATAAGTCTTACAAATAATGGGAGCACTTAAAATGGGATAAAGTACATTTCAGTGATTAAATTATCATTTTAAAAAGGAGATTATGATACTCAATCCTTGTGATGTTGTGGCCTCCTGATAGAATCGTATGCAGTGTGTAACAGTAAAAAATTGATAGACTAACTTTGGAAAAGAAATTTGACATCCTCTGTCCCAGTAATTGTTCCGATGATAAGTCTTGTTTAGAAGGCAAAAGAAATTAAAAACTACATGCATAAAGCTGTTCATTTATAATGATGGATAATTTTAATATCTAAAAGTAGGCAAATAGATGTTGATTGTCTTCTTGGTGTGGTCACTTAACAGTAAACCTGGTACATGGGAAATGATTATGTTATCACGTCAAGTGTGGAAAGCAGAGGTGGCATCAGGCCAGGGGTGTGACTGTGATGTGAAAACCTTTAGGCCTGTGCGGAATGAGCGGAAGAAATGTAGCTACCTGGAAGCAGTTCTATGTGTTATGGTGAAAGAATTCTGGGTAATTTTCCTATTAATATTATGTACTTCTGATGAAGATGTTGCCCTGCTCCATTTTTATTGGGAGTAAATGGTCATTAGGATAATCTGAGCAGCTGAACAGTGAAACTTGAATTATGTTTTCAGAAGATCCTTTTGTCCTTCGTGTTGTGGGCAGAGTGGAACTGGGAGTCCACGTGGGGAATCAACTCACTGGTGTGTGTGATACATGCAGTGACTTAGGGCAGTGATGGGGTGACGGTGGGAGGTGGGGAGAGGTTCTGGAGCTGTTGACGCATTTTGGAGGTGAATCCAGTGGAATCTGATGATGAGGATGACGTAGGTTACAACAGAAAGGAAAGGGTCAGGGACGACTCTGTATGATTTGACCTTAGGAAATAGGGATAGAGAGTGGCCGTTTACTGAGTGGGGAGGCTGGAGCAGGTTTGTCTCAGGGCTGGGAAGGCAGGAGGGGAAATCGGGAGGCTGATTCTGAGCGTGTTAAAGAGACGTCCAAGTGCACTGCCACGGAGGCTGCTGGAGGTCCAAGTGTGGAGCTGAGATAAACAGTCTTGGGCACATACGTATAAACTTGGACAGTGTTGGTGCATAAATGACACTTTGAGGTCGCCAAGGGAGAGAGTGTAGAGAGAGAAGATAAAGAGGGCTGAGCGCAGGACACTTACTTTTGAGGATTAGTGTCAGGCCAGGAGAAGTATCATTTGGGGAATCTCAGTAAAACAATACGTAATAATTCTCTGTACTTAAAATTGTTTTCATAAATCTAAAATTAGGTCAAAAAGGAAAAGCTAATAAAACCTACGATTAAAACGACTGTAAAGTCTTTAAGGCAAAGGGAGAAAGGAATGAAAGGAGGGAGGGAGGGAGGAAAGAGGCAGTGTGACTTTCTGTTGATGGCCTGTTCCCATGCAGGGTCCCGGAAAGCGGCGCTGAGGCAAGGTCTGTCCAGGTGACTTGTTCAAGGGCAAGGTGGGGTGTCCTGGAAGCCCGAGGAAGCTATTTTCAAAGAGATGGGCATGATCCCATGTTTGGAATGTAGGTGATGAGGTTAAGAGGAGGGTGGAGACCTGCCCAGACGGAGTGGCAGCGTGGAGGTTACGGTGGTGACAGCAAGGAAAGGCTTTGATGGGGTGAGGAGGGTGAAAGCCCCACTGCAGTGGGCTTGGGACTGAGAGGCAGTGGGGCGGTGTGTACAGGAGAGGCAGGGGGGCGGGCGGTGTATGTGGGAGGCAGTGGGGGGCAGGGGGCGTAGGTGGGAGGCAGTGGAGGTGGGACGTGTACCTGAGAGGCAGTGGGGGCGGGCGGTGTATGTGGGAGGCAGTAGGGGGCAGAGGGCGTAGGTGGGAGGCAGTGGAGGTGGGACGTGTCCCTGAGAGGCAGTGGGGGCTGGCGGTGTAAGTGGAATAGGACAAGGCAATGGCCTGCCGGGCGGGGGAGGCTGCGGAGGAAGATGTGGGGTAGAAGCTGCGGGCAGCAGAGGCTGTGGTGCCTGCTCCCCGCCCCACTGGCTCCCCAGTCTCTCCTCAGCTGTGGGGACAGGTCTCTGAGAGGTCAGACTCCTGGTCCTGTGTCCCATGTCAAGCGCACGCTAAGAGCATTTTGCTTCCTGCCTCTGCTCCTCCTCTGAAGCAAGCTTGGCTGAGAGGGCAGGAGAACTAACACCCTCGGAGCAACCTGCAAACGGAGTGAATGCCCGATTCACATTGCCTGGGCCTGAACGTCCCTCATTGCAGTCCCAGGCTACCTGGGAAGGTTAGTCCCTTGCCCCCAACGCTAGGCGGCACCTGAGAGGCTTGGGGACTGCAGGTGGCAGGGGCCGCAGGGACCTGGCTGGCTACACGGACTGGTCCTTCTCTCCTGTTTCATGCTTCCCTCTCCCTCAGCCCTTTCCTGGGACCTTGACCTTGAACCACGGACCCAGGGACATGGACAGAAGTCCCTGCCTCAGGGCTGCTTCCAGGGACCCTAGTCAGAGCAGGACACAGAACTTTCCTCTTCCCTCCCTTCATTCCTTTCTCCTTTTACCTTTAAGACTTCACAGTTGTTTTAATGGCAAGTTTTTCTACCTTTTTATTTTTGACCTAATTTTACAGTTTTTTTGGCTGGGCTGGGTTGGAACCACCTCCTGTATATGGGGCCAGCGCCCTACTCCTTGAGCCATAGGCACTGCCCTCATTTTTGACCTAATTTTAGACTTACAAAAACAATTTTAATATTAATAGTATTACAAAGAATTATCTCATATCTTTTACTCAGATTCCCCAAATGATAACATTTTAGCACATTTACTTTTTTTTTCTCTGTATATCTATATTTATCTCTGTATCATATTATGGACTAAGTTATAGACATGATGTCTTCCTAATCCTAAATGCAGTTGTCACTCAATATCCCTGGGAAATTGGTTCCAAGACCCCCTGCAGATGCCTTTTATATAAGGGACAGATGCTCAAGTCCCTTAGAAAAAATGGTGTGGGTTTGTCTATAACCTACACACATACTCTCGATTACTTTAAAATTAGTTTAAATCATCTATAGTTTGTAATACCTCATGTAATTTAAATGCTGCATAAATAGTTATTAAAGTGTATTGCTTAGGGAAATAAGGAAAAGTCTGTGTGGATTCAGTACCCGTGCCCCCATCCATTTCCCCCCCCCCCGAATCTTTTTGGTCTGTGATAGGTTGAATTCACAGACCCCAGGATTAAGGAGGGTCCACTGCACTTCCGTACGCACGTCCTAAAAACACAGGCTTTACTGTACAGAGTCACGTCATGATTGCTAAAAATAGGAAGTTACCACTAATCCAGTAGAACGCTTTAAACTAGAGACTGTTCCCAGATTGTTCTAATCCTGCCCTTAGTAGCAAAAGAAGATCCTGGCTGGGGTGTTGCCTTTATGTGCACTGTCTTTAGTCTCCTTTCTCGGCTATGGTTTCACAGCCTTCCTTTGTCTGGGTTTCATCAAGATTTTTGAAAAAGTCCCTTTTTTTGTAGACTATCTAATGTGAGAGTTGTCGGATGTCTCCTCGGGATTGGCTTTGGAGTTATGATTTATGGCAGGAATAGGTGTTTTTTTTTTTTTTTTTTTTCGGGTGGTAAATAATGACATGGGGATGAGCTGATAAGAAGAGAGAGGAGAGCTGAGGAGGATGCTCGTGAGGGCGGGAGGCGGGAGGCCTGGAGCCCAGGTGAGGGTCAGCCTGAGATGGTAACAGCAGGTGGTGGGGAAGCCCGGGTGTGAGCCCTGGCGTAGGTGCCCGCAGGCCTGGTGTGGGAGCGTGAGGAATATCTCTCTGATCGCTTCCACTTCTCAGAGAAATAGGAAGCAGATGTGCAGATAAATGTGAGGCTAGAGACAGGAGTTTGAGATCCAACGAGAGAATAGGTGTAGGGGAGCTGGCCAGGAGAAGGGGCACGATGTGGACAAGGACGCTACATTGCAGGCATAAGGCAGCGCTAAACTGCACACCAGAGGCAGGTGGACGTGAACTTGGTGCTGGAAGACTCAGAATTATTGTGCATTGTGCATCTACAGCCATATTCAGCTACTTGGGGAGGGGGTAATGTAGGTAGAGAGTTGAATTTGACTGGGAATGGATTTTTTTTTTCTATCGGTAATGTAAAGGTTAATATTTTGACCATGGAAATGGGTAATTTGAGCAAGAAAATACCACTGGATGGTGGAAGGAGGGGGGAGTCAGGGAACAGAAATGATTCAAGGAGCCCTGGGAGATTTTAACATCACGAGAACTATGGCAGGACTCATGTAGGACAGCCTGGTGGTGTGTGAAGAGCCAGGATCCTTCAGAAATGACAAGCGCTGATTCCAGGAGCATCTTGGGAGCTTGCTGAGTTCTGGACCTCTTTTCATTTTCGTGGAAGGTGGTGTGAGGCACAGGGAATGTGTCTCCTATGGAGTAACTGCAGCTCTGGATTGACTGTACCTTGTCTGAGGGGTAAAGTCAAACTCGGCTTTACTGGAGGGTGGAGAGAAGACAGGCAGCAGCCGCAGAGCTCAGAGCACAGTGTGGGGGGCTCTTGGTGAGATGCTGTGGGGTATCTGATGTTATCACACCCAGAGGAAGTGTGGTGGCTTGGGGAGGCACTGGACACCCATGCTTCCTCCGTGTTCCCACTTGGCCATTCTTAGTATGTAGCATGAAAGACTCAAGTATTTAGAGAAACCTGAAGGGCGCCTACCCGTGCCAGGTGCAGGTGGGAGCCTGTGGACCAAGCCTAAGGTGACCAGATTTTAACATTGGTAAAGTGGGACACCATTGACAGGGGTGGAGGGGGCAGTTCTTAATTAAAAATTTGGTCTATATGGAGCAACAAAAATTTTCATAGAATGCAAAAATAGTATTGTAATATGTTTTTTTAAATTTCAACATAAGTACAATTTACAAATATAATACATTAAAAATTATGTAAAGTATTATTTTATTTTTTGGCATAGTTCTCATTTGAGTGAATTTTTTTTTTTAGTAGATTGCTGTCATTGTGTAAAAGGTCATGAAATTTTTCACAAGAATTTGTTAAATTATATTTCACACATAAAATGGCTTTCAAAGTCTCAACACTTAATTGTGATTTTTCTGATGTCCACACTTTATTTACATAGAAAAAACGCATTCAGTCACAACATTAGTTCCTGGTAAGGACAGCACGTATCCCACAATCTTTAGTGCATTATTGTATGGAACATGGTTTGTTTCAAAATGATGAAATATTTCTAACCATTTTTTCTGTATTGTGATTTTTGCTGATGCCCAAGATTTAACCTTTTCCTTATCAAAATATTTTTTTAATAATGATACCTTGTAAGTCGTAAGTGTCACTTTCAAGGCCAGTGCTAGACTTTTTGCCGCCACTATAAAATATAAATAATACGGGTACTGTCTGCTAAATTCATGAAATAAATAAATAAATAACTTACCTAAATTATCTGAATAGCTGATTTGTTGGCATCACTTGTTTAACTAGCACTAGCACTCAGTACAATGTGTATCGTCTGAGAGACAGTTATAAAATGTTTTCATCAAAAATGCCATTGTTCATTAAGTCCAAACAATGGTGATTGAATTCTAACAACTGATCAATAATACAAACTTTGATAAGCAGTTCTTGATAATCAGTTCTCAACGATTATTTGCTATTATTAAAGTTTAACATTATAAAATTAACAAAAATAATATAAATTCATATCCTGGCGAAATAGCCACATGGCAGCCAAAAACTGTCTATTCCCTTCCCATTCTGCCATTCCCTAGCTTGTCGTGCATTCTTTCCAAAAATTGGGATTTTTTAAAAACACCACAGGAAGCAGGACAATTTGTTAAAAATCAGGACTGTCCCGCCAAAAGCTGGGCGACGGTCACCTTAACAAGTCATCAGTGCTCAGTAAAATGCTACGTTTTCTTTCCTTCCTTTTTTAATGTTCCTTTTAGTTCTGCCTTCATGTAAAAACCTTTCGTGCTTTGCTTACATGGCTAGTTTTTTCCCAAAGTAAAGAGAGCATGAGAGAGAAGATTATGTGGTGTGGTGAGGTACATGCTAGTTTTATAAAGCAACTGTACAATGGAGTTAATGAAAATGGATTCTGCAACTCTGTAACCACTTGCCCCATCCCTTTGCCTCCCAAGAAAGCTCTTCTGCCTTCTGCCCACCAGGATGAATATCTCCACTTCTCCCCTGGGGTCTCATATGTCCCCCAATACTTGGGGAAGTTGAAATCTGGCCTGTGATTTCCTGTTGCATGTCTGCTTTACTAAAATATCCATTTAGTTTTAATTTTTCATTTACTTTCCTCCAGACTAAGATTCCATGAATTGTACCATCAAAAACAACTCTTTGAAAATGGTGGTGGGGGATGTCGGGGAAGGCATGCCATTTTGTGGAGGAAATATGGTGTTCAGTTATCAAACTGTGTGTCAGTTCTGACTGGGTCCAGCTGCAATAACACAAAATCCCCAAATAACTGGAGGCATTCCAGTCTTGTTTGTATTTGAGTTATTCTCTTTTCCTTTATCATTGCTTATGAAGACTAGATCCTGACATTCTTATCCAGAATCTACCACAAAGACCTTGTATAATAGTTTCAAAAATCTTAGAAATTGTGGCTTGGCACCCATAGCACAGTGGTTATGGCGCCAGCCATATACACTGAGGGTGGCGGGTTTGAATCCAGCTGGGCCACTAAACAACAATGACAACTGCAACAAAAAAATAACCCGGCATTGTGGCAGGCACCTATAGTCCCCAGCTACTTGGGAGGCTGAGACAAAAGAATCGCTTAAGCCTAAGAGTTGGAGGTTGCTGTGAGCTGTGATGTAACGGCACTCTACCAAAGGGCGATATAGTGAGACTCTGTCTCAAAAAAACAAACAAACAAACAAAAAAACAGAAATCTTAGGAATTGGTACAGCTTGTTACACAAACAGGGCTTCTTTTTCTCTTCACCCATCCATACTTCTGAAACATTAGGTAAAAACCCGTCAACCTAACAGAATAATTTTAAAACTGGGTCTGTTTAACACAGTGACATATCGAGCATGGGTTTCTACCAGAAGTTTTACATCCTCCTACCTTTGTGATATCCCGCCCTTATCTCATTTAATTTATTAATGAAACAATAAAGGGAAACTTTTGGGCTTTTTTTCCTGTCAGATGGATCTCAATAAGACTGAGGAAGTAATAGTGAAGCTGGAAAGGCTCCACCAGCTGCCTCACATCTGGGACTTTCTCCTTTTATTGCTGAGACTACACGAGCACCATGTCCGCCCCGAAGACGGCCTACGCCTGGCAGCACATTTCCTCCAGACGGTTTTGAAGTAAGTGAAAAGGGAAATATAGTGACCTGTAGGTGTGTTTGTTTTTCTTCCTCATTTTTCTACATGGGAAATAAAAATTTCTGAGTAATTGTTTGATTAAAAAAAAACCCCTGCCCAAATAGGATGGAGCCGCCTTACTTCCATGCCTGACCCTCGAGTCTGGGTATGTGCTCCACAGAGGGGCAGTGAGCAGTTCAGAGCACTCTCTCTGCTAAAAAAATTTACATCACTGTATTAACATTTGTATGTCATAGTCTAAAAATAATAATTTTTAATGGCCGTAGAATATTCTCTGTTGGTAAAACATCATAATTTACTTAATAATTTTACCTTTGGACTTTTGGTTATTTCTAAGGTTTTCACTATCAGAGATGTGGCATGGATATAAACATTTTAACTAAATAGCCCCAAACTACTCAGCTCATTTGTGTCAGTTGTATAATTCAGTGAGCTGGACGTTGGTTTGGTGTGGTGGTTCTGGCCCCCGTGGTACTTGGGGGTGACCTTTGGGAATGCTTCTTCCCATAGTGGATTCTCATTTTTTAATCAACCAGGTCTTCTTTTTTAAAAATTTGAATTATTTTGCTCAAATTTATTGCTGGAATATAGCATTTTATTGGTAAAATTTTTATTCTTTCATATTTTTAACTGTTACTTATTTGCCATCAGTGAGAACAACCTGCATTGCCCTGAGGCCAGGATGAGAGGGGCCCGTGTCCCGGGTCCTGTGGTTTGAAGATCCCCATGCTGGCCTTCCCCAGGCTATGCCTCTGCTTATGGGCTCACAAAGCTGGGAGGGTGAAAGAGATACATCTGTAGAATGCACCCCCCACCCCCGACTCCCTCTCCCCCTGGAATCCCCTACTTACTCCAAGGTCTAGAGTGCCTTCCAGAGCCTGTGCAGGCCTCTCTGGTCTGTCCTTCTGAGGGCAGCTCTTCCACTGGACTATCCATCCCTCGGCCCAAGGGTGGTCCAAGGGCAGTTGCAGCTGTTGGCAGGAGTGTGGGGTAGAGGTTAGGGTGGCGCTTGGCTGTGTAGGCTGGAGTGTCCACATAGGGGCACTGAGGCCTCCTGGGGTACAGATAGAGCTGAGGGCAGGAGGCAAGTTGGGAGGGGATGGGCCCAGGGGTGGGTGCTCCCTGAACAGCCACATTGTGGAGCACACCTCTGAGAATTAGAGGATTCTAAATTTGAATGTGGCTTTCCAAGTTGGTATGAAGATGTGTTTTTCAGTGGAGGTAGATGAAACATATTTTGATAGCTTGTTAGCTGGATGTATCTTAAATATTTGAGCATAGGTGGTATGTCTCCTTTTGTATTCTTTTCTTTCTTTCTTTTTTTTTTTTTTATGACAGTCTCACTCTGTTGCCCTGGGTAGAGTGCTGTGGCATTATTGCTCACACCAACTTGAAACTCTGGGCTCAAGTGATCCTCCTGCCTCAGCCGCCTATGTAGCTGGGACTATAGGCACCGACCACAACTCCTGGCTAATTTTTTTATTTTTAGTAGAGATGAGGTCTCACTCTTGCTCAGAGTCTTGAACTGGTCTTGAACTCCTGAGCTCAGACCTCAGTCTCCCAAATTGCTGCCATTACAGGTGTGAGCTGCCATGCTGACCTCCCTTTGTATTCTTGCTCTGAGCCCTGACTGTGTTAGCAGTAATTAATAAGAAAAATTTGATTATCTTGAGGGGGGCAAATTAGAGGATGTTGATGACAACTGTTGGAGCCTCTCAGCTTCAGCAGAGATTGTATTTTTATATATTTTTTGTGGCACAATATCAAGACGATCTATACCTATAGAGATAAGTGTTTGTAAGCAGCACCAGTTTTAATGATTTATCTTGTAATTTTGGGATACTCTTGAATACACAAAGGTGCCATGAGAGCCCCCACAGCCCCATATAAAAGAGGTCTCTAACTGCACTTGACGTGGATGCCATCTCGGACTCTGCCCAGGTGGATTTCTGTCACCTCGTTAAACCTGGACTGAAGCTCTCCTGTTCTCCATTCTCATCTCTGGGTATTTGCCAGTGACCTCTCACCCTCCGAACATTAGACAGATTATCTAAACTTGAAGCTGCCAGGCTAACTGTCCATTTTCTTTTCTAAGATAACAGTACTTTGCGGCCTAGCCTGATTCATCAACGGACCAGTAGGCCAGAAGCACCAAGGCTGAGCATAAGGGAAAACCTATGGTGGAGCAAACCCATACTGGAGCTCTGAGTCAGAGGCCGGGTGCAAGAGGGCCGAGATTCCTGGGTGTGTCGGGGGTGGGGGAAGAGGACTTAGCTCCCACGTTTAATTCCTAGCGCTCTGAGTTAGGGTCACGTTAAAGCCATGAAGAATGTTGACTTGCAAATACGACCTGCCTCTTCTTGTAAGAGGGCCAGCCCAGGGGCTGTTGGTAAATCTGCGATTGATACTGCCGCTTTTGCTAACTGCCAATTCACATTGCTTTTTTGTTTGTTTGTTTTGGCTCTAGCTTCCTAACATCCCTAGAAGATTTAGACTGGCTGCAGGTCAATCACACTTTCTCCCAGGTTTCTGAAATTGTGCTGAACGTGACCATTTCGACACTGACGTCTCTGCAGCAACATGGGGCAGCAGTCACTGAGATGGGTAATGTAGAATGATTGCTGTGCTTCAGAATGTTTCACTATTTATTATTGACAGTCAGCATAGAGCTAAAATGATGGTCAAGGAACTGCTTTAATTAAAATTTCAAATGTAAAACATTTATTTTCTTGTTGTTGTTAATAAAAGAAAGTACTCGAGTGAAAATTTGAAACTCAAAACTGAATTCGACTTTCTACTACCATTGAAATTCTGCAATCATTGCTAATAAAAATGATATTTTTGATCAAAACATAACTGATTTAAGATTTTTTTGGCTTGATGTCTTTTTAGGTTAGATCTGCCACGGTTCTGTAATTTTAATCTTCCTTCCCTCTAAGCTCCTATTAGAAAGAAATACTTGAAAAACAGCAAGGCTTATAAGAGGATGCAGGTTGATGTGAACTTTACCCCCTAACTGAATAGGCAGCCCCTCCACAGGGGAAAGAGTGAGATTATGTAGTTCTTTTTATAATGCAGAAAGCCATTTTCTGAAGTCTCAACTGGGCTTGTATACTTTTAATTCTCTCCTTTTCTCTTTTTTCCCATCTCTGTTTTTTTCTCTAAGGGAAATACAGTGAGAAAACAGCAAAATTAGAATTTATCTGCCCACCCATCCGTCCGACCGTTCATGTGTCCTCTGTCTACCCGTCTCCCCACCCACCCACTCACTCACCCACTCAGCCCTCCATCCATCCATCCTCCATCTATTCATTCTCTCATCTAGTCGACACTTACTGAGCACTTTCTGTGAGCCAAACATTGCTCCAGACAGTGGGCATAAAAAGCTAAGTAAGACAGAGTTCTTGCTTTCAAAGACATCTTGTTTAGTAAAGAGGAAAAACGCATCAATAAAGAAAAATGAAGGCTGCAGAGTGGGGACCTGGCGTCTTCTTCAGAAAAAACTTCAAGGAAGAGCTTCAAAGGATGAGTTAGAGCTCATCAAAGAAAGGAGGGAGCATTTGCCAGGAGTGAGAACATACCCAGCTGGCTGAGAGCCGTGTGGGTTGGACACTCAGTGTGTCTGAGGTATCTCAGGCAATAGAAGAAGATGGTCCAGAACGGGATCCTGGGCTGGATTGCAAATGGAGTTTGGATCAGTAAAATTAAGATGCTCCTGGGTGGGTGTGGGGTGAGTCTGGGGTCACATTTTCCATTGGCTGAGGACTGTTGAGGTCCAGCTGCCTGAGCTCTGTAGCAGAACAGTTTTCTGCAGAGGTCCCCCCAGGCCCACACACAGATGTGTCCTGCTGCCTGGAGCAGCCCTACCTGGCGGCCTCCAGGGTCCCTAACTCCAGCTGCGGCTTGTACCTTCCTGTTACTTCTGAATCAGCACAGGCAGATCCCCACAGAGAGGAAGAGTCTCTCTGAGTGCTCTGTAAGAGAAGAAACTAGTCCATTAACATTTAATTCAATTTTCACCTTAGGTTAGTTCCACTGGAACTACCAATTCTTATGCTGAGGACAAAATCCAGCAGTGGGGTGCATGAGGAATGAACCTGCTCACTGCACTCTTCACAGTGACCTTTATTTTAGCAAACTCATTTAAAAGCTTAAGTTTTTGTATATCATCCAAGTTGTGACAACCAACTTACCTTACAATTAGAAATGTAATTACTGCTAAGAATGTAATCAAAATGAACTGTTTCCTAACTACTTGCCGGTGAGTGAGTCAGAGGTAAAGAACTCTGTTACAGAACAAACCTCCAGAGGCGACTAAAAATCATCTTCATTTCTCAAAGACTCTTTTGCCTGATGAGCAGATTATATTGTGTGAAGAGGAGGGGTGGGCGGCCTCAGAGGCGCTGAAATCATTGCTTTCCATGTTCCGAATACTGTTGTTCAGCAGTGAATTTCAGAAACAAGTTGCCTTTCACTTTTTTAGAGTTATTTTTTATTTTTATACTTATTTATAGACTGAAATTACTTTTTTTTTCTCCCCTCTGGAACATCGTAAGTTATTTTTTCTTTTCTTTTCTTTCCTTTCTTCCTTTCTTTTTTCCTTCCCTTCCTTCCTTCCTTTCCTTTCTCTCTCTCTCCCTCTCCCTCTCCCTCTCCCTCTCCCTCTCTCTCTCTCTCTCTTCCCTCTTTGACAGAGACTCACTCTGTTGCCCAGGCTACAGTGGTGTGGCATCAGCTTAGCTCACAGCAACCTCAAACTCCTGGATTCAAGTTATTCTCCTGCCTCAGCTTCCTGAGTATTGCAGAATATAGGCCCTGGCCTCTGTGCCCTGCTGATTTTTCTGTTTTTAGTAGAAAAGGAATCTCCAGACCTCGAGTGATCTTAGCCTCCCATAGTGCTAGGATGATAGTCATGAGCCACCATGCCTAGCAGAGCTATGAATATACTATAATCTATCCTTTCCTCTGACAGAGCTCTTCACTGGTTTTTAATATTTAATTAATATAAAACCAATGCAGTAATATTCTTGTATATTATTTTTGTTCGGGTATCTGATATTTTCTTGAGATAGATTTTTAGAAATAAGTTTATTAGGTTTAATGATCTGAATTATATAAAGCTTATGAAAATCTTAAGCTCCTCCCAGCTGACTGAATGAGTCCCTTCTTGGCCAAGAAGATACGTTAAAACTGAGTTACTGAAGCAAATTATACACCATGACCAAGTGGGTTTTATCCCAGGATCTCAAGGCTGGTTCAACATATGCAAATCTATAAACGTTATCCACCGCATAAACAAATTAAAAAACAAAGACCATATGATCCTCTCAATTGATGCAGAAAAAGCTTTTGACAATATCCAGCATCCATGCATGATTAGAACACTTAAGAAAATAGGCATAGAAGGGACTTTTCTCAAGTTGATAGAGGCCATCTACAGCAAACCCACAGCAAGTATCGTATTGAATGGAATTAAATTGAAACCATTTCCACTCGGATCAGGAACCAGGCAAGGTTGCCCACTGTCCCCATTGATCTTCAACATCGTAATGGAAGTCTTAGCCATAGCAATTAGGGAAGAAAAAGCAATCAAGGGTATTCACATAGGATCTGAAGAGATCAAACTCTTACTCTTTGCAGATGATATGATCATATATCTGGAAAACACCAGGAACTCTACTACAAAACTCCTAGAAGTGATCAAGGAATACAGCAGCATCTCAAGTTACAAAATCAACACCCATAAGTCAGTAGCCTTTATATATACCAACAATAGTCAAGCTGAAAAAACAGTCAAGAACTCTATTCTATTCACAGTAGTGCCAAAAAAGATGAAATATCTGGGAGTTTACCTAACAAAGGACATGAAAGACCTTTATAAAGAGAACTATGAAACTCTAAGAAAAGAAATAGCTGAAAATACTAAGAAATGGAAAAATATACCTTGCTCATGGCTGGGAAAAATTAATATTGTTAAAATGTCTATACTACCTAAAGCAATATATAATTTTAATGCAATCCCTATTAAAGTTCCATTGTCATACTTTAAAGATCT